GAAGAAGAAGAAGAAGAAGAAGAAGAAGAAGAAGAAGAAGAATAAGAAGAAGAAGAAGAAGAACAAGAACAAGAACAAGAAGAACAAGAAGAAGAAGAAGAACAAGAAGAAGAAGAAGCAAGAGGAGGAGAAGCAGGAGGAGGAGGAGCAGGAGGAGCAGGAGCAGGAGCAGGAGCAGGAGCAGGAGCAGCAGCAGGAGAAGGAGGAGGAGGAGGAGGAGGAGGAAGAGGAGGAAGAAGAGGAGGAAGAGGAGGAGGAAGAAGAGGAGGAGGAAGAAGAGGAGGAGAAGGAAGAGGAAGAAGAAGAGGAAGAAAAAGAAGAAGAAGACGATGAAGAAGAAGAAGACGAAGAAGAAGAAGAAGAAGAAGAAGAAGAAGAAGAAGAAGAAGAAGAAGAAGAAGAAGAAGAAGAAGAAGAAGAAGAAGAGGAGGAGGAGGAGGAGGAGGAGGGGCGCTGGTGGACTTATCTTTGCGGCTATGGGGGGCTGCTGCGACGAAGCGGCCTGGCGGGGCGAAGCAGCCGCACAGAGATGTCCATGGCGGGCTGGAGACGGGGCGCTGGCAGTGTTCGCTTGGTGGCAGCACACGATGTGGACATGCAGGCTGAATGGCACGACATCAACGTTGTGTGATGTTGCTGTAGCATGGGGCAGGCGGGGCGGAGGGGCGGAGGCAGCGCAAAACCACGCCACGATTCACATTTCAAAATGCGGCCGATTTCGGCCGCAGACCTGCAGATCTGCGGTCGACATCGACCACGTTTTCAAATTTGAAAACAGGAGCCTACCGGACCCCGTTTTCTTTTGGAAACGCGCGGCCGATCTCCACCGTCGATCTGCGCCGATCGGCGCCGGAGATTGGCCGCGCGTTCTCAAAAGAAAACAGGGTCCGGTAGGGCCCCTTTTTTTTTTCACTGGTGGTGGCGGCCTCCCAGAGGCTGGGCGGAGACGGGGACACCCGAAAATTCCCCGTTCCGCCCCTCAAAAGGAGTGTGCCAAATCGAACCGGGGGCCTGCCGGGGCAGTGAACCGCCCGGTTGGACCGGTAGGCTCCCGATCGGTCGAAGGTCCCCCGGTCCATCCGGGGACCAGCACTGAATTTGGACCATTTCTCGATGCATGCTTGTCATCCTTGCGCAGCCATGCTAATGTTATCGGTATCGTTTCGGTCTTAACGGATGTCCCGAAGAACAGTCCATCACCTAACTTGCAGGTTCGACAAACGAGGTGTGGACCTGCATCCCATGTTCATTTTTAATTTCCTTGTTTCGACATGAGCAGTTAACTGAAAACAGGTTTGGATGAGGCTGCTCCTGAGTCCCTCACCAAATCTGCAGGTTCGACAATAGAACCTTGGATATCATGGTGGCTTAATTGGGGCTTGTCCAATTCGTTTGCTCGCATCTTATAGATGGGTGCATTTTTTGGGGGTTGCCCAATGAAGCGGTGTAGGGTGGTAGTCGGGACCCAGTAGGCTATATGCCTAATCAAGTGTAGTATAGGGTGTGATTGTGCAATGCTGGCAAGAAACCACCTTTTGTTTTTTGTTTTTTTTTTGGGAAAACTTCGTACTCAGGGAAGCCCACTTAACGAGGTGATAAGAGCAGCCCCGTTAAGTGGGTCCCAACGTTTGGAGGCTCCATCTATTGGTGGGGAGCTGCACCTGCTGGAAATTGGGTCCAGCGTCCCTGTACAATGATATGATATGTGAGGAGGTTGTATTGTGTCTGTATATGCAGGAGGCATTGATTACATCCCACAAGGAGGGAAGGATTGACCTCCTGCCCATGTAACCGAAACCCTAACGAAAAGCATTTCCATCCAGCATCTGGGAAAACATCCCAAAATTCCCCCAACTTAACACTTGAAACCCGAAGTGACCGACCTTTCACCTGGGGAACGATCTACACCACCTCTTTATCACGGATTGACGGCCGAGCAACCCCTGCTGATTGACATGGATGTAGTCTAACCCGCTCCCACCCGGTGCCGAGCAGAGAGGTGCAAAGGATGAATGGCGAGAGACTCCACACAGAAAAGAGGGGGGAAAGCAAAACACACATTCAAGCTCAAACCTCTACCCACCATCCTCATGAAATCCCTAACCCTATCCCATCGTGCTGATGTTGTCATTGTTGTTGTTGTTGTTGGCTTCAGACCCCGTGTTTTCTCCCGCTGTAAGCAAGTTGTTGCCGCAGCCACCAGCATGTGTGCTGCCGCCGTCGCTGTTGTTGCTGTTATTGATGTTGTTGTCACTTTTGTTGTTGCTGTTGTTGTCGCCTCTGTTGCCGTCGCCACAACTGGCACCACTGTTGGTGTTGTGATGATGAGAGGGTTTGTCAGAGGCAATAGTGTCGTCGTTGTTGATGTCAATTTTGTAGTTGTTGATGATACTGCTGTGGTTGTTGTAGGTATTGTTGTTATTGTTGTTGCCGCTGCTGCCTTCGTAGCTGCGTGCGCCTCTGTCGTATGGCCTTCCTCAAGTGGCGGTTGTCGATCCCCCGAGTTGCGCGTTTGATCGCACTCGTTAAATTGCATCCCCTTCCCCTCGTGGACAGAGCCTCCGCGATACTTCGCAAGCGAGCGCAACCCTCCTGAATGGTCGACAGCCGCTCATCTGCACCCTGTTGTAATTCAGTTATTGAAGCCATCTCCCCTCTTTGTAGAACGCGCTGTCAGATCAACGCAGAACAAAAAAAAAGCCACACGCCCACATGCCGTCTCCTGATATGCCAGGTGGAACCAGGAGCAGCTATGGCGAACGATGAAACCTTCTTCGAATCCCCAGAATGCAGCGTGAAGTTATTACACCTGTAATATCTGGCCTGACAAGCCATTGGTTGTGTGTTCGATTCTCGAATTGGACATGCTAACACTTGCAAATAAGGATGTCCGCTATAATGACCAAGTGTTGTGTTTGGGGGAATAAGGTAGTTGGCACCTGGACATTCTTTGTGGAAGATTTGTGTTAGTATTTTCCAGTACGTCTTGGTTCACTGTAAGAAACTACCAACAATATGCCTCCAAATACCAACACCAGGGCACCCTGCATCCATGCGGCTTCTCTGGTCACATACTGTTGTATTCACAACATTTCCATTCATTAGATGACCCTAGCTGATCGCGTGGGTAGGATGGTTGACGTGGCATGAGTTTTTTTTGCCTCGCTATCATGTGTCTGGCGTCCATCTTGCGCTTTCAAGTTACTGCTTGGGGCATCCGCTAGCGGGCGGAGTATGCCACCGACAAGGATGCTTGGACAAACTGCTTGTCCTTAGACACAAACACTGCAGCATACGAGTGGAAAGCGGTGCACGCTCTCTCTGGAAACTGCTCTTCGGACGGCCATAGAGTGGTCCATTGTCCGTTTGTAACCTCCGTTCCTGCCCGCACGTTGACCTTGCCTCTGAGAGGGACCATAACTCCAACCCCTCCTAGTGTCAACCAGGTGCCCCCTCCTTTGTTGCCCTGCAGGAAGTAGGTGTTGCCGCTTAGCGCTGATGTGTTGACTAATGATGAGGATGGTTTAAGGAACGCTTCAACATGAGCTTGAGCACCTGGAGGGTAAGCCTTGGTTCTGACACAAGGGTGAAGTGTGATGTTGAAAGCGAAGGCCAACCACGCCTCAAGTTGGCACCTTTTGATGTCCATTGGGGCTGCTGTGCCACATGGCACTCTACTGGGTACAGCAGAGCAGGTCTCACAGTTCATTGTGGGTGCAACAGGATACTGGCTACGGAAAGATCGGCCAGCCTGACCCTCAATCCAATCGATGAATGCCGTGATCCGCGTATACACTCCTGGAACGTCCGAAACACCACATCGGATCCCAAAGCTTGTGATGCCCACTAGAATAGGACACCCCTTAGATAAGGATTGCGCTGTTGCGGGGCCACCGCTGTCGCCTCCGCAGGCAGAGATGCCCCCCCCTTTACATCCTGCACAAATCATGGTTTTAGGGTCGAAGCTTGAGAAGTTTCCACACCCATTCGGCAGGTAGTCTACGGTTGCAGCCAGCATTACATCACTGAGGTTCTGCGCAAAACCAACTCTACCGAATCCACTGATCGTTATATCGGACAGTTCCACGAGTGGTGCATCGTCATAGGCGAGCTTGATCGGCATAACATTGTCAGCGATTGTCACAGGTTGTGCCAACTTCAGTAACGCTACGTCATTATTCAGACTGCTGTCGGTCACGAAGAAGTTGGGGTTGCTCCATATTTGCTCCACACCAACTCGTTCACCACGGAGAGTTACATGGGACCCCACTAGAACAACAAATCTTGAAGCCGGTCTTGTCACACTGTAGTCAGTTTCATCAATTACACAATGACCTGCATGCATTCACGCAGAAGTACGAAGAGCAACAGGAGATACAGATGAAAGCAGAAAACTCAGTGAAGCAGCAATCAATGGCACATTGCCACATACCAGACACTTGTGCATGTACAAGCAAGGACGAAGTGGCATTCATACATAGACTCTCTGTGCAAGACCCAAGGAAGAATCACCAGAACACCAACGGGTCTTAGCTCAGTTGCACTTGTTTTTTTTTTTTTAACTTGCTGAGAACCGGGCTCAGCGTCCCGCATATGATGATGATGATGATAATGATGATGATGATGATGATGATGATGATGATGATGATGATGATGAACTCCTGCTGATTCTATGTGCAATGTGAGATAATCATACTAATGATGATGATGATTAGTGTATATAAAAAATATAGAAGACTATGCTAGATCAGCAATTCTGGCCTCCTAATTCTAGAACAACTCCTAAGCCCTCCAGCTATTGGCAGGGCATTTGGCTTTGTATCTCCTGTCTGAGCCTGTGGCTGCCCCGCCTTTTTTGTTGTCCATCCACGGGGTGCTCTGCAACTCCCGGGTGCTGGACCAGGGCACCATGTTTTTCTGATTCCTCCGTCATTGTTGCAGCAGTAGGGGGCTGGAACATTGCTGCTAGAATATGCAGCAGCCGTTGACTAACCTCAGGCCATTGGGCACTCTGTTGGTAGCCCACTTCGAAGCACCGACTTCAGGCTGGGGCTGTTGTCTAGCATGGAGAACAGCTGTAGGCAGGTAGAGTCCTAGAAATCGTCAATGACAGGCCCGTACCATGCTTTCATATTAGTAATTATAAGCCAGTCGGTCAGTTGGATCAGTTTCTGGTCCACCGGAATGTGTGCGTGCTCCGGCTGGGGGGAACTCTTCCTTCGCATCTTCCTTTGCTATGCCTGCCAGGGCGGGGGTTGAAGGCAGGGGGAAGGGGTTCTATGTCTATCGGGGAGGGCCCGAATGAGTCTCATAAAGGATCAGGTGGGTGGTTCTCATCAGCATCTGGGCCCGGCCCTTCTGGGTTAGGCTGGGAGCTTGCCCGTGTCGCTGCAGGGGTGCCATTCGTGGCTCCGATTGCACTGTTCACGGTGGGGGCCTTACCCCTCCCCTCCTCCTCCTCCCCCTCCCTTTGCCGGCCCTGACTGCTAGAGAGGCCGTCCCCCGGTGGCTGGTTCTTCTTCGTTTTTTTTTTTTTTTTTTTTTTTCCCACTAGTACCTCGCCCAGTGTTGGGAAATTAAGGAAAACTGGCAGTTTTCMCAAACTCCTGAAAATTCGGAGGCTGGGCCCGACGACGGCTGCCATTGATAAATCTGACCGGCGGCGGTCGTTTCGTTTTGGCCATCCGAAAAGGTCGGAGGCCCACCCGAGGCCCGCTATTTTCCCACGCGGCAAAGGTACTAGTGGTTTAAAGCTCCGATCTTTTCGTGGGGAGCAGAACGTGCTGGGAACTGGGCCCAGCGTCCCTTATAGTAAGATGACATGAGATTACAATGAGTGTTTGATGATGATTTTGAGAATACCAAAGCCATTAATTACCCAGCTCCGGTTGAGAACTAATTCAGAAGGTTTTTAAGAAAAGACTATGCTACTCGTGAACAACTCCAATCCCTACTTCTACACATCGCCTGATTCCAGGTGTCACTATCCTTTCTTTTATTTTAACAATGCAATGTGTGCGATGGATTTCGTAAGAACTGAACTGAGAACATACAAGAAACAGGGCCTCGCTCCACTACTCTATACTCTCGAAATTTCGAGAGTAAGGCCTCGCTCCACTCACTCTAGATAGGTGCTCTCGAAAACGCCCTTCGAGAGCTGTCAGAAAGCACTCTCAAAGGGCACTCTCAAAGTGTCTAGAGTGCCCAGCCTGCGACGACATGCTTTTCCAGTGTCCTCCCTTGTACCCCCGCTCCGACCATTTTTTTTCGAGAGTGCACCTCGTGTCTCGACCATCAGAACAGGACGCGACCATCAGAACAGGGCGGCGCTGTCATTTAGTGCAGTCAGAGAGCTCGTCTCATTCCGCCACTGTATCTCGAGCAAACCCATCTGAGGAAGTGGAGCCAAGACGTTTTTTTCGAGAGTTTTGCACGTCTGACAGCTCTAGAAGGACTCACGAAACTTTTCGTGAATCGAGAGTAGTGGAGCGAGAGCCACAGTCTGATAAGCCTAAAACAGGAAGCAAGAAGACGAAAACCCCCAACAATCCGGCTCTTTCCCCACACCACAGAGAAAAGACCGCCGCCCAGGCATTCAATCCTCGTACCAGCACTCGCTAGATCTCATACCCCCTCTGATTGAGTGACAGGGCAACACCCACTGCCCCAGTACCGACTGAGCTAGTTCTGACGGACAGGAAGTGTCTTCCTCCCTCGACAACTTCCTTAGCTGCAAAGCAGCCTGAAGGTTACAGGGTCACTACCACGGCATCAGCTACGTTGAAACAGGATAGTTATGCCTCAACCTCGGCATAACTCCAATAGTCTCGAGCTCCCCCTGGTTACAGAGCAACTGCTCCAGCACCGACCATTGTCGCCCCACCCCGCCCTTCTAATTAGACCTACCACCCTGAACACCAATCTCTCCTCTGCCCGAGCACCACCACAACACTCCCTAGGACCAACCCGTTCCCTTCCTGCTCACCAAATCGATACAATCAATCAGATGGAGAACAAACAACCACTATCCACCTTTGCCCCTTTTCCTTCTTCCGACACGACTTATTACAGCAGAGCCATCTACACTGCTGCTGCGACACCCAAATTCCATCCTACTAGCTAGCCCTCCTCACCAGCAGGATACGTGAACACCATCCAGCTACCCCACCTTCCAACCATACACCCGCGAGCAAAAACAAAGCCCCACGTTCAGCCCTCGTACCTAAACACAACTGATCTCAACCCCCCCATAGCTAGAGTTACAGGAACCCACCACGTCCCCGGTACCGACCAGCCTAGTACAGACGGCAAGGAGTGCCTTCCGCCCTCGACAACTCTCGAAGGCCGCACGCCCCTTGAGGTTACAGGGTTATCTGGCAAGTCATATTTGATCCTGCGAAGGGTGGTTGAAAATTTGGTGTCCCTCAAAGACCGATGCTGGAGCAACGCTGGCCAGAGCCAGAGCCAGGTGGCGCAACTCTATGACCTAGCTTAGTGGGGGCGTGAGGCCTGGTAGAGAGCTCTGGGGGGCTGTTTGCGGGGGCAGCCTCAGTCGTCATCGGGGGTCGTAAATGGAGCAATGCTGGCCGGCGTTGGAGCAAGGTCGTGCAACTCTGTAACCTAACCTGATGGGAGCATGAGGCTTGGAAGAGCTTCGGTTCGTGCTGAAAACAGCCACGTTGGTGGTGATCGTAGGTCGATTGAATAGGTTTCACCTATCTGATTTGTGGTTGGGAGGCTTTTTGACACACATATTCTAGTGACTAGGTAGAGTCTGAATAGTTGAAAATAGGTCGGTGGTTCTTATGAATGTTTCAAGACTCTAGGGACTCTTAGCAACCCGTCTTAGGCAGTTTTGAAGCTGTCATACTCAGTGATCTGCGGCTGTTCGATGCCAGAATGGCGCTGGCCGGTGCTGGGGTGTTGCCCTGTAACCTGCTGATGCAGGAGCGCGAGGCCTGGTAGAGAGATCAGGGGATGCTTTGGGGTGGGCATTCTAAGGGACAGCCAAGGTTTGTTGTTGGGGCGACGCTGGTCGGAGCTGGGGCGAGTTGTGTCGCCCTGTAACCCAGCAGGGAGGGGGTGTGAGGCCTGGAAGAGCTTAGCAGGGAGTAAGACTGCGTTGGAAAATCTTAGAAGGGTTTGTTAGGGATCCTGAGGGTTCTGAGCACTCGTAGGACCTCTGTGGCAGCCTATTGCATGAGTAGTTCCTTAATAGGTCATTAGATATTCATGATACTTCTCATGCTTTCTGAATCATATCGTGTTCACAGACTGTTCTTAGTCGAAGCGGGGTAATGGCCCCGGTATCTCAAATGATCTCAAATATTCTCAATGATCTATACAATTCGATATGGGACGCTGGGCTTGGTTCCCAGCACGTGTTGTTCCCCACGGAAAACAAAAAAAAAAAACATGTATAGCACACAAAAAAAAAGCAAAAAAATCCAAACTGGAACCGCTGACTTGCAACCTTCCACGCAACTATTGAAGAGAGTCAAAGACCTCGTAACCAGTCCTCGATCCTACACACAGCTGGTCTCATACCCTCCTATGCTAGGGTTACAAGGCACCACCATGCCCCGGTACCGACCAACCTAGTATAGACGGTAAGGAGTGCCTTTCTCCCTCGACAACTCCCATTAGTCGAAGTTCCAACATAGGAAATTCCTTGGTATAGAAGGTTAGGAAGCCAGACAACAATGACAACACTAAAAAGAATTTGGATTATAGAAGAATCAATGTAAGAAATACTAAGAATCAATCATTGGAAAAAACAATTGGGAAAACAGGTACATGATATCGTATTCTAATTGGTTAATACATTTGAAGTTATGAATTGAGGAACTTATGTTTGATACAACTGTTCAAAATTGTGAATCTATCAAAAGCAAAGTCCGATTTACGATATTCAAATTAGCAAGTATATTAAGCTCTTGGAGAGAATTACCTAAATATGAGGGATTACGAATTGAAATCTCCAACTCCAATTCGTTATGTATCCATACACGGATTAAGGCAATCCAAGGAAACAATTGGGAAATTTAGGATTACCAGCAAGACATGAGACTTCTTCAATTGAAATTGAAAGAAATTCTGCTAAGCCACATCATTTGAAATCCTGTTATCAAAACACAATCAAGGATCATGAATTAAAATCATCAATGAAAATCAACCTCATAATTTGAAAAGCTTGGTTATCAAAACATTATTAGTAACCGCGCATGGGCTAAATCCAATAAAACGACCTCCCATCCCTTTTTCCTCAACCCAATCACTTACCTCACCCCCCTCAAACCCTACCTCTGCGTCTTTGGGGCAGGAAAGACTCCCTTTCTCCCACTGCTAGCTTCTAGGCTCCTAGCACAGCTAACACCAAAGACATGAACGACCATCTTCAGTCCCTCAAAGGAA